CCCCAACCATGGCCGCAGTGTTCGACCCTGTGGGAGACTCCAAGACATGGCGCGAGGAGAAGGAGCTTGCGCCCGGGACAGAGCTCACGTTCCGCCCGCCGCCGGGCTTTGTGGCCTCGGCCGAGCGGAGCGAGTTTGCAGCCGAGTCTGGCGGCTTCCTCTGGGTCAACGACGAGGAGAAGGCCCGGCAGAAGAAGGTCATCATGGACATGATCAAGCGCATGGCCGGCGGTGTCTTCCGTGGCCAGGTCTCACTCATCTCCATGACTCTCCCCGTCGGCCTCTTTGAGCCGCGTTCGCATCTCGAGCGCATCGTCGACTGCTGGGTCCTTGCCCCGTACTATCTCAACGGCGCCGCAGAGCTCGCCCCGCTGGAGCAGATGAAGCGGGTCATTGCCTTTGCCATTTCGGGTCTCGAGCACAACGCTGGAAAACAGGGCAAGCCGTTTAATCCCATCATCCAGGAGACTTACGAGGCGCACTTTGCCGACGGCACCCAGATCTTCTGTGAGCAGTTCTCGCACCATCCGCCGGTCTCCGGCTACGAGCTGTTCGGGCCGAACAACGCGTATCACATGCACGGCGCCGGCGAGTGGCACGCATCTTTCTCAGGAAACTCAGTCAAGGGTCATCAGACCGGCGCTTCGTCCATCACCTTTAAGAACGGCACCACCATCCGCATCACCTGGCCGCACATCTCCATCCGCGGCCTCATCTACGGCGACCGCATTATCGAGTTTGAGAAGCAGGCCATTTTTGAGGATGTTGCCAACGGTCTCCATGGCGTCGTCTACTTTAACCCGGACGCCTCAGGCCTCCTCGGCTCCATCGGCGGCTGGTTCTCCTCCAAGAAGAAGCTCCCGTCCGACTACGTCTCGGGCGGCATCTACAATGGTCCCGTCTCGCTCGAGGATCCCTCGGCCAACCGCGTTTGTGAGATCTCCGGCACTTGGCTGGGCTGGCTCGACTTTGACGGCGAGCGCTACTGGGACATCCGCAACCCGAATCTCAAGCCCTTCCGCCAGCAGCGGGTCGACTACCCCCTTCCTTCAGACTGCCGCTACCGGCTCGACATTGTCCGCCTCGCCGAGGGCGACATTGACGGCTCCCAGGCCGCCAAGAAGGAGCTCGAGGAGGCCCAGCGCGCAGACGCCAAGCTCCGCAAGCTCGGCGCCAAGGAACGCACCAAGGCAGCCAAGAAGGCTAGGAAGGCATCCAACAAGTGAACAAAAGCACTCGACGAACGCAGGGGTAACTTGATGTCTTTGTTTGATGTGTGGGTAGGGTACCGAGCGCCACAACTCACGAGTTGATAGGCCTCGATGAGCACGGCTCAAACTGATAGCTGCAGTCGACGCCGATGCAGATATCCTCAGCATACTTGGAGTCCCAGTCGCGGAAGAACTTGTCGACCAGGCCGCCGACGACGGCGTCCGACTTGACGTTGAACGACATGCCGCCGGTGGTGAGGAAGTAGTCGGCGAACGAGTTCTGGGTCGAGACCCAGCCGTGCGAGTCGGTGACCAGGTACTTGTTGTGTGCGACGCGGGTGAACGGGATCTGGACCGGCATGGGGAGGTCGGGGATCTTAAAGACGCGGACCGAGACATTCTTGAGCATGGCCAGCGACTGGAGGTACGGGTATGCGTCGCACAGGGTGTGGTTCCACACGCCAAACAGCAGGCGGACCTCGAGGCCCTTGGTGTTGAACGGCGCGGCGCGGAAGGCCGTGTCGAGGGCCGGGAAGTAAAAGTTGTTCTGCTCGTACGCCGTAAACGGACCGTAGTCCATGATCGAAAAGTAGACAAACCGCTCGGCGTCGTTGATGGCCGTCGTGATGGCTGTCAGGTCGAGCTCGCGGCCGGGCGTAGCGAGCTGGAGTGGATCGACCGAGATGAACAGGTCCATGACGTCGCCCTGGATGTCGACGTTGAGCGGCGTGTCGCCGTTGAAGAACGTGTTGTATGCCGCCGGCCACGGGTCCGGCAGCGATGTCGTGTTCTTGGCGCCAAGGTACCAGTACATGTCCCACACCTTGCGCGCGTCACCCACAATGAGCGGCGACTTGGTGAAGACCAGCCCGAGCTCCTTGACCTGCGTCATCGAGTCCCACGCAATGTTAGCCGAGCCGAGGTAAATGTTCTCGTCGTCCGTCATGATGAGCTTGGTGTGCAGGATGCCCGACTTGGCCACCAGCGACCACTTGACCCAGTGGACCTCGGCGAGGCCCATGTTCATCAGGATGTGCGGGTCCGGGGAGTACGGCACCGCCCCGACCTGCTCGTTGAGCGCGAGCTCGATCTTGACGCCGCGCCGCCCGGCAGCAATGAGCGCGTCCAGCACAGCCACTCCCTTGCCACCCTCCCAGTCCAAGTAATTGGTTCCGTTGGCAAAGTCCATGTAGAACGCCCCGATCCGGATCGACGACTTTGCGTTCTGGATGAGCTCCAGCCAGGTCTCGTACGTGTGGTACTCCGAGTACAGATCCACGCCCTCCGGAATGGTCTCCACAATCGCCCATGTCGCAGACCCATCCTCCGAGAAGATCGACTTGCCCGCGCCTGCACACGTGGCCACACCCCATCGCCTGTGAGCTCTCCGCTGCCCACCATCCCCACCGCACGCGCGCACGTGCTACTCGAGGGCCAGGAACATCCAATGGAGGGAACAAGAGCGCCCTCCCCGGCTCACCCAGCCCGCGCCATGGTCAGCTCTGGCGCTCTTCCGCACACCCTGCCCCCACCTTGACATGTCATGCGCGGTCCTCTCTGTCCGCAGGGGGCTACCGCTTCTGCTCCACACTCGTTCGCGACGTTCCCCAGACCCCTGCCGGGAGGAAGGCTGTTCCCCGGCTGCGGTTGGTCACATTGGCGGCCAATCCAACGGCCGGCGAGGTGGGCGACGCAGAGTGCTCCACAAGCGTCCACAGCACACATGGCAGTCACTGGTTTGGGGTAGGAGTACGGGTAAAAGGTGAGGCAACTAGCAAGGGGACTGGTGCGTACACGGGACAGCAGCCGCCGCAAGAAGGACGGCCAGAACCACCGCAGCAGCCGAAATGGCGCGCATTTTGTAGATTCTACCTGCGAATGGGGAAGAGTCGGGTGGGCCGTCGTCAGCACGGATTACTTACAGCCTCCGCCATCGAGTCCCCCTCCCCTTTCCCCTCCCCTCCTCCTCCCCTCCCCCCCCCCCCCCCCCCCCTTTCCCCTCCCCTCCCCCCTCCTCCTCCAGCACACAGTCCACCAATCCGAGCCAATGATCGGGCCGAAACCCATCGCGACCATACACGCTGATTTTGATGGTGCCAACCTCCCAATCCCAAACTTGCACTGCCACGTCGCAATTTGCTTCGTTGGCTTGTGACCCGCCGGTGCCCCCCCCCCCCCCCCGCCCACCCGGCCACCCTGCCGCCACCCGCCACTCAGCGAGCGCTGGCCTCACCCGCACAACCTCCCCCCCACGCCATCCCCACCGACAGCCTTCGCCTCTACACGAGCTACATTCGACTCTCCCTCTGGCCATGGCGCAGGACATGCCTATTGCAAGCCCTGTATGGGACACGCTCTCTGCAGAGGACCACCAGTACGCCTTGCCCCCCTCCCCCCCCTCTGCAACGTGGGGACATTCGCTGCGCTTTGCGCGCCACCAAGCGACCCGCAACCCGCCTCCACTCTGCCCCGCTTCCCATCCCTTCCCTTCCTCGCCTCCTCACCTCCTCCCCTCCCTTGAAGACGCATTCGACGGCTGTATACGGTGCGCGATGCGGCAACACCACCGGTGCAGTCCAACTTTCGGGTGGCAGCTGTCTTTGCCTTTACCGACACCGACGGCCAGCCGCAGCTCCTCGACGGGACCAACAACGAGACGTGCTACATCCATGGCTCCATCTGCGCAGAACGGTCGACGCTCCCGCGCATTCGTCAGATGGGCTACAACTCCATCGATGCCGGCTACATCACCTGCGACGGCAAAGGGTACATCACCCCCGGCATGCTCTGCCGCGAATACATGACAGAGGTCGCCGGCCTCGATCTGCGCCTTGTCCTCGTCTCGGGCGCCACCGTGCCGAGCCCCGAAGGGCCGGTCCCTTGCGAGATCAACATCACCACCGTTGGTGAGCTCTATCCCTTCCCGCCGGTATACCGCTGCATCTCGCGCTACGAGGTTCTCAATGCCGCCGAGGCGCTCTCCGCCGCCGTTGCTCCGTGGTGGGCCGGCTCGCTCTCGGTCGACTCGGACGACTCGGACGACGACGACGGGAGTGACGCTCAGGGCATTGAGGCTCGCCTTGGGTCAGTGGCCGCCGCCTCGGGCGTCGCCACCTCGGATGTCTACCGCATGCTCAAGGCCATCCACGCCGAGACCGCGCGCGACAACCGCGACATCCTGCATCCTATCCGCTACGCCGCCGGCGCGCTCTTTGACGACGGCAGCATAGTCACCGGATGCGAGACGAAGGCGCTCGAGTACGGCGCGACCATCAACCCGGTCATCAAGATTGCCAAGGCGCTCGAAGACGCTCACGACGCCGGCCGCAAGGTCCTCCTCTTGGCTGTCATGGATCAGTACGGCGTCCTGCACGGCCCGTTTGCCGACTCGCGCGCCTTTCTCCACGAGGGCCCGTGGGGCGCCGTTCCGGTTGTTGTCCACAACTCGGAGGGCGACGGCGCGTTGGTTGTCACTGCCGCCTCGGACCTCATCCCCGACTCTCCCCGCATAGAAGAGCTGTTTGCCAACGTCGACGAGGCCCGCGCCAGGGCTGATGCCACCTCGCCAGCCACCTCGCCCGACGGCAAGGTCCACAAGCCCAAGACGAGCCATCGTCCCGGCTCGCGGACCACCACTCTGCACAATATCCTGGCGTAGCCCTTGCATTGAACGGTCTTGATCTTCTAGTCTTCAAGAGCTGCTGCTCTCGCTCGCGGTCTCGCTGGCGCACGACTGACTAGAGCTGCGATGCGAGACGAGATTGAGAACCCGCGACCGCTGCGCGGTCGTCGTGTCGCGGATCGCCTTGCTCTCTGCGCCCGGATCCGAGGAGACGTAGATGATGGCAACTGAGGTCGGAGGCCGCAGCGGCGCCCACGGGTTGTCGTCGGCTCTGTCCTGGACGGCGAGAAGAACGTCGATGGTCTGCGCTGCCGACCACGCTACCATGTGCTGGCGGACCCGAGCGCTCAGCGCACTCTTGGCCGCCATGCCCACGTACGCGTACCAGCCCGGTACCCAGACAGCATCAGGCGCGAGATCCGTCCGCCGCACCAATATCGGCCATACGGCAGATGCAGACTCGGGCTCGAGGCCTTCCCGACACGACAGCGCCTTGGCGAGCGACGACGAGACGTGCACCACCATCATGTACACGCCTTGGCTCTCAGGCGAGACCTGGACGCTATCACGCTTGTGAAGCGGGAGAAGATCAAGCGCGCTTCGGACCATGGTAGGCACATGCTTGGCCTTGACTCGTGACCACGATCCGTCGATCGCCTGTGTCTCGAGGCGAATCTTGCGCACCTTGCCTTCGCGGCGCGGCGGCGCGGGAGCGGCGAGGCGGAACTTTGGCACCGCGGCCAGCCACTGCCTCCCGCGCTCGCCACGGAATCGTGAGCCGGCATTGAATCGGATGCTCGAGTGGCCAAGCAGCGTCTCGAGGCGGACGCTGTTGATTAGCTGGCGGAAGGTCCGCTGGCGGGCGCAAGCAAAGTTGAGAAAGGCGAGCGAGGCCGCAGGCTCGGCGACCGACGACCGCGCTGCCGCCATTCGCTCGACAATGCGTGGGTAGACAGTAGTGTGGCCATAGGTTCGCCATGCTGAGAAGCTCGACGCCGTCGTCGAGCCGCCGCACCACGCCACCGCAAGATCGTCGGTGATGTAGCCGGAGCGGTCGGCGACGTCTGCCCACCACGACCGGATCTCGCTCGGCCGCCACGGGCCGGGAAAGACGGCGTCAAAGACGGCAACCAGTGTGCGGAGCTTGGTCGCGGCCGTGACAAGGACCTCGGCCTGCTCGTTGTCGCCGGCATTGGCACTCCTGGCGCTCGGCACCGCCATCCAAGCCCGCTCTACAGATAGCGAGCTGGGCCACGGCTTGGCCTTGGCCTTGCTCCGCTTGAGCGCTTTCCCCACCGCCTTGCCGGCCTTGCGCAGGGCGGCTGCTAGCGCCGACAGTGACAGCGCGCCCTTGAGTGTGGCTCTCTCTGGCAGCGCTGCCGCGGCGAGGTCGTCAACAAGCTCAGCGGCGACCTTGTCGTCGACGCGAGCTGCGGCCAGCGCGGTCGCCAGCTTCTCGTCGAGCCACTCCCGCCATGCACCAGAGCTGGCGGCATCGAGTGCCACCTGCGGGAAGGCGAGCCACTTGGACGGCGGCCTGCGTGGCACGTAGCGCAGCGGGAGAGCGAGGTCGAAGGATGCCCGTTCGGCTCCGAGCGTGACGGTCACCGCCACCCAGAGCCTGCCGGTCGATGCAGGCAGCGTGAGCGTGGCCAGCGATAGCGCCGACGCCGACGCCGATGCCGAGCCGCGGACGGCCACCGAGCCGTGATGTTTGGATGATGACGAGGACGAGGACGAGGACGAGGACGAGGACGAGGACGAGGATGAGGATGAGGAAGGGGACGACGCCGAGGCGGAGTGGTGCGATCGGTGGCGAGCCTTGGTGTGGCGAGGTCTTGACTTGGATCTCGACTTGGATCTGGAGAGAGCAGCTGAGCGACGCGACTTTGCTTTTACCTTGGTCTGCGAGCGCGACCGCCAGAGTCTCGGCATGAGAGGGAGGGAGGGAAAGAGAGAGCAGTGTTGCTCGTGGGCGCAAGCGCCAATGTGAGCGCCCGTGCTCAGCTGTCATCGGCATTGTCTCCGTCGCCTTGGTCGTCTCTGTCGTCGGCATCGTCCGTATGGCCAGCTGCATTGTTGTCACCACTGGCATTGGCATCAGAAGAGGCAGCAGCGGCGTGGGCGGGGGCACTGGCGATGGCCGCCTCGATGGCGCCAACCCAGGCGGCGGCGGCGGCGGGATCGCTCTTGGCACGCATCTCGTAGAGGCGGCCCGGGATGCGGATAGTAAAACCACCAGAGCTAGACGACGACAGAGCGACGTCGATGGACTCGGGGGCGTCGGGCCCGTAGAGGGCGATGGAGCCGCGTGGGGCGGCGATGTCTGACTTTGCCCAGGACAGCACGCCATCCTGGAGGCGGAAGTAGCGCTTCTTCCACAGGGCGATGGGAGTCATGAGGATGCCCTCGCCACGCTTCTCCAGCATGCCTGCCACGGCGCCGGACGGCTCCTGGCAAAAGGTGGCGCCGAGAGCAGGCTTGTCAAGGCTGTCGGCCGGCGAGTAGCCGATCGACGACGACGAGACCGAGAGCTCGCTGGCGGGCTGGCCTGCGGACGATTCTGCGGCCGAGCGCGGGGTCGATGCACCCGACTGCGGCGTGTCGCGGTACTTGAGGACGACGTCGTCGTCGAGGGCGTCGGCCAGAAAGTCGAGCCAGGCCAGCTTGGTCGCCTCGTCTTTCGCGTCGACGTGGATGGGCGAGTCGCCCCCGGCGTGGATAGTAAAGACGTGATCGCGGGCCTTGGCGACATCGGCAGCGACGCACAGGGCAACCTTGGTCACGTCCGACAGCACTAGCGTCTCATGCGGTGGTGCTGATGCGTCCTTGGCCAGATGCAGGGTGTCGGCAGCTGTGTCGACCACCAGCCAGGTCTTGGACCACGTCGCCCGCCCGAGCGCACCCATTGTCCGCACATGAAGGAAGCCCGTGAGCGTGGTCTTGGCCTCGCCAGTCAGCGACTCCCACCCGTCGTCCGCCATCCACCTTGTGCACACGTCGTGTGTCCCCGTCTCTGCCACGGCTGCCTGCTCGACTCGTCGTCGCGTGTCATGTGGGAGTGACCGACCGAACGCACGTGTTGAGCCGATCGATCCCGATCTGGGACGGTGGCTTCATCAGTGCGGGAGAAGAGGAGGGGTGTATATGCATGTAATAGAGTTGGTGATGGCGTAGTATGGGGCGTGAGGCTATCGCGGGATGCGGACGGATGTGGGAGCTCGCCGACCTGCTGAGTGGGGAGAACGTAGCCAGGGCGAGCGGCTCGGTCGGGAGCAGCCATGCGGCGATAGATGGGGATCGGTCATGGCTGCCATGGCTCGCATCACCATCAAGTACCCAGATCCGGTCCACTTACCGTTCCAGCAATCGTGCCTGCCCTTCCGGCTGGCAGCCGGGTGGGGCGGCGGCAGCGGCGGTTCTGAGTTCAAACGTTCGACACACGGCAAGGCGGCCGGCGGAGACCACGTGGTGGTTGCCCAGCAGATGGGTATGGACAGAGGGCAATGGCCATGAGATTTGAGCCCAAGCCTCCCAGAGCGGACTAGTTGGGAACATAGCTAACACGTCGGCTTGGTTGCAAGCTCTGAGCTTACCTCTATATAGCCGTCGCGAGCTCGATGTCAACCCGCGCGTGCCATCAAGTAGAGTGGCGCAAAGCGACCCGGGGGAGGGTTGGACCTTTACTGGGCTGCTTCAAGTGGGATCATACACAGATAACATGATCAAGGTAATGCCAAGCATGTGCACATGCCCAGCTACAAGGAGATGTCATTGCTGTAGCCATCGGGGGCCAAACGAGGAAGTGAGGGAGTGTTGACGACAAGGTCGGCTGATGGCGACAGCACGAGTCGGTCACAGCACCTTGACCGTTGCTGCGGTGGCAGGGCGGAGGGGGGCAAGGTCGCGAGAAGAAAACTTGGGGCACCACTCATCTCCCTTCATCATGGCGTCTGAGAACACCTTCCTCTTCACCTCCGAGTCTGTCGGCGAGGGCCATCCGGGTACGCATCCGTCTCCAGCCGGTGGTGTGTGGGCTTTGTGTGGCGGGGGATGGCGAGGCCTGGCCATTGTGGCGACTGTCTGATCCATCCACACCGCCACTCTCTCGCCCACCTTGCACCTCCACGTGCGATGGCACCAGTGCTGCCCATCGCGAGCAACCAGGGCCACGACACACCACAGACACCAGAGATACCACATGTACCCCTGCCAACATGCCTTGTTCCCTGCTCCCCACCAGCAAGGCTGCGAATGATCCTCCCGTGGGTGTGGAGCAAGAAACAGGGTGGTGGTGGGGGATATTTGGCTTTGTTGGGGCGAGCGAGGGGAGGCTTCATTTTTTTGCGCAATATTTTTAGCGATGCATAGCTCGACCTTTTTTTACACTCTCCTCTTGTGTGTGTGACTCACTGCCTCTGGTTTGTGGCTTGTGTGATGCGGGTTGAACAGACAAGATCTGCGATCAGGTTTCGGACGCTGTGCTCGACGCGTGCCTGGCTGACGACCCGACGTCGATGGTGGCGTGCGAGACGCTCTCCAAGACCGGCCTCATCATGGTTGCCGGTGAGATTACGACCAAGTCGAAGGTCGACTACCAGAAGGTGATCCGCGACACTGTCCGCCGCATCGGTTACGACCACTCGGACAAGGGCTTTGACGCCACGACGTGCAACGTTCTTGTTGCCATCGAGGAGCAGTCGCCCGACATTGCGCAGGGTGTGCACGTCAACCGTGCGCCCGAGGACATCGGCGCCGGTGACCAGGGCATCATGTTCGGGTACGCCACGGACGAGACGCCCGAGCTCATGCCGCTGACGCTTGTGCTCTCGCACAAGATTGTGGCCAAGATGTCCGAGCTCCGCAACAACGGCACGCTCGCGTGGCTCCGCCCCGACTGCAAGTCGCAGGTTACTGTCGAGTACAAGGACGTCGACGGCGCGATGGTGCCGCAGCGCGTGCACACTGTCGTCATCTCGACGCAGCACTCTGAGGACGTGTCCAACGATGAGATCCGCGAGCGCCTCACCGAGGACGTGATCAAGGCTGTTGTCCCGGCCGAGTTCCTCGACGACAACACCATCTACCACCTGCAGCCGTCTGGCCGCTTTGTCATCGGTGGCCCGATGGGTGACGCCGGCCTCACCGGCCGCAAGATCATCGTCGACACGTACGGTGGCTGGGGTGCCCACGGCGGTGGCGCCTTCTCGGGCAAGGACCCGTCCAAGGTCGACCGCTCGGCTGCGTACGCTGCTCGCTGGGTTGCCAAGTCGCTTGTGGCTGCCGGCCTTGTCAAGCGCTGCCTCATCCAGGTTTCGTACGCCATCGGTGTGGTCCAGCCGCTCTCGCTGCACATCGAGACCTACGGCACGGCCACCAAGTCGAACGAGGAGCTCATCGAGATCATCAACAACAACTTCGACCTCCGCCCGGGCTGCATCATCCGCGACCTCGAGCTCACTCGCCCGCGCTTCTCCAAGACTGCCGCCTTTGGCCACTTTGGCCGGACCGACGACCCCGACTTTACTTGGGAGATCCCGCGCGAGCTCAAGTTCTAACTGTCTTACCGTGTGTATGATGATTAATACGTTCGCAGCGCCGCACGTGTCCGTCCCGATCACCAGCCGTGGCCGTCCTTCAATCCATCAATCCTTGCCCGTGGCCCGGTGCAAGGGGAGGGAGGCGGGTCAAGGAACGGGGGCAGGGGGAGCAGGGGCAGGGGACGGGGGGGGGGGGGGGGGTGAAAGCTCAACACACTCTTCTGACAGACCTTGTTGGTAGGCATGAGCAAGCGCGAGCTGGAGGTTGCGGGCGAGTCGAGGCGGGCGAGCAAAGCTGCGCGGGTGGCAGGCGGCGAGGACGGCGAGGGCGAGTACCTCTACCACGAGCTCTTTGAGCGGATGCAAGCGACGTTTCCCGAGGACATGGCCGGCCTACTGGCGCCGGGAACGGCGGAGGCGCGGCGGGAGGAGCTGGTGGAGATGCTTGATCTAGGTTGGATTGAGCGGTTTGCGTGGGCAGTGCCGACCAAGGCCGCCATCGACGTAGTGACCGGGCTGGTCGGCCTCGCCGGCGCATCGCGGGTGGTGGAGATCGGCGCCGGTAACGGGTACTGGGCGTCGCTCATTGCGGCGCGTGGCGTTGAGGTCGCGGCGTACGACGTGGCGCGCGAGGACGACGATGATGACGAGGGCGAGCGCAAGGTGTGGTACAAGGTCCAGGGCGTGGCGTCGCAGGACGAGATGATGGTGGCGCTGGAGGCGGAGGACAATGCGGTGCTCATGCTGTGCTACCCGGACGACGGCGAGGATGCCGACGACGGCGAGATCAACGCCGAGAGTGCCATGTCTGTCTCTGCGCTGCAGGCGTTCCGTGGCGAGTACGTGGTGCATGTGGGCGAGCTGATGGCGGACGGACGCGGGGTGACCCGGCCGGGCCCGTGGGGCCGGACCACGCACCCCGAGTTCCAGATCATGCTCGCGGAGCACTTCCACCAGGTCCTTGCGCTCGAGCTTCCGTCATGGCCGACGTCGAACGACGTGCTGAGCGTGTGGAAGCGGTCGGCCGAGGTCGAGCTCGATGACGCCGAGTTTGTGTACGTGCCGGCGGAGGAGCGACTGCCGTCGACGCGGGCGGCGCCGGCGTTTGCGCACTTGCTGTGACGAAGGAGCGAGTTCATTGCATGCGGAGTTCATTGTGACGGAGGAAGGGGAAGAGCAGATCGATGGGAGGCGGGAGAAAGAGCTCGAACGAGTACAGGCGGGTCGGCGAAAGCCTTACTTGTAGACCTTGCCCTCGACGACGTCGCCCTTGGCCTCGAACGAGGCGCCGTCCCAAGCGAGGTAGTCCTCGATCTTGGTCTTGTGCTCGTCGTTGGAGACATCGAGCGGGGTAAAGGTGTAGTGGTTAAAGTCGCCGTTGTCGAGCATGTGCTGCGGGAGCTCCTTGCCGCGGACGAGCCAGACGCCCGAGATCTCGAGGTTGCCGTCCGAGCCAGTGATGAGCATGGAGGCAAAGCCGTGGTCGTGGAGGTTCGGCAGGCGCTGCATGAAGCGGCCGACAATGTTGGAGGCCTTGAAGGCAAGGGTCAGGTCCGAGTTGTACTTGTACTCGCAGAACCAGAACGAGTAGCCGTCGTTGTCAAAGTTGGACCAGAGGTAGGGGATGGCGTCGGCGCGGGCGTCCTTGTTCGAGTACTCGCGCTTAAAGGCGGCGAGGTCGAACGAGGACGGCGGGAGCGAGGCAAAGGCGTCCTCCTGCTTGCCCTTGGCGGCGGCCTTGGACGCCTCCTTGGCCTTCTTCATCTTGTTGGCGTCGTACTGGGCCATCTTCTCGCAGAGGGTGGTCTCGCCGGCGGCGGCGACAAACTCGGGCTGCGTCACGACGGCGGTGAACCAGCGGTTGGTGTGCTCAAACGGAGCACGGAACTGCGGCTCGAGGACCATCTTGTAGAGGTCGAGGAGGGTGCAGGCGACGATGATGTCGGCGAGCGAGACGGCATTGCCGACGAGGTAAGTGCGCGACTCGAGGTGAGCGTTGAGAACGCCGAGGACCTTCTTGATGTCGCCCTTAGCCTGCTTGGTACCGGCCTTGGAGTACGGGAGGTAGCCGAGGAGCGGGTAGAGCCAGGCAGCGCGCGGCATGTCGATCTCGTTGGCGGCGTACTGGATCCACGAGTCAATGAGCGACGACTCGTAGACAGTGGCGCCGAGCAGCTGCTCGGCGGCCGAACCGGCGCGGGCGACGTAAGCCGCGATGGCCGACGACTCGAAGATGCCACCCTCGGGCGTCTTGAGTGTCGGGACCTTACCGAGCGGGTTGAGGGCGAGGAACTCGTCGGTCTTGTTGTCGACGCCAAAGGCAAGTCAGCCGGAACCTCGACCTCCACGCCACCGTACTGCGCAGCCACGAGAGCCTTGAATGCGCGCGAGTTGTTCGGGTACGTGTACAGAGTCTGCATGCGCATATGTGTGTGGGCGGGTGAGGATGGGCGGGGCGAGAGGGGGGCGGTGGCGCAGAAAAAGGATGAAATTGTGGAGGATCCCGGGGAAGGGGGGGGGGGGGGGGTAGTGGGAAGGCGGTGGGTGGGGAAGAGGGGGCGAAGGGTGGAGGGGAGGAGAAGGACGGGGC